CACCCAAAAGCAACTTATCCAAAGAAGAACAAACTGCACTACGTAACTGCACTAGATGTTGATATGGAGGTGATATTTATGCTACAATGTAAAACAGTGTACAAATAGTTCTCATGTTATGAAGCAACTGAAGCTTATTCTGTGGGTAATTCAAAAATGCCCCAGCTGGTGGCAGAACAGAGCTGAATCAGTTGATCCTGAAAAAGAAAGCAAAGAAAATAATCCTGACAATTAAAAAAAAATCTTTTTGAAGGAGACTATGTTAAAAAAAAGGCATGACACTAAACACACTGTAAATGTTGCAATTCTTTGTAAAAAAAACCAACCCTAAGTTCTTTTTAATTAAAATGCTTTAAATTATTATATAATAACATATTGCTTGTGTTTAAAAAAAGACTTGCAGTTTTTAAAAAGTGTGGATGTATATTCATAGAATGTTCTAGTAACTTGTAAGGAAAACAAATTTTTAAGCAGTCTTTGGTTTTTATGGGTTCCAGGTCTATAGGCTAGGTAAGGAAAAGAAAGGAAAAAAAATTATACCCAGAAGATAGTAGTGACAAACCACTTACTTAGTACTACCAAGAGAATTATATGGAAGTGATCAAGAAGTCAGGGTTTGAGCTCAGCTTCAGTTAGTCTTTCAACATTTTTTTAATGTTGAAAGAATTCAATTTATGCAACTAGAAAAATAAAGTTATTTGTAAGCACTTCAAATAGTTTTAAACATATTAAACTTTAATTTTGTGCCTCAGTTTGAAAGAAGACATTATATATGTCATCTATTGCATTTCTTCATATTGACCTGATAAATTTCATTGGCTGACAGTACATCTAAAATATTATTTCAGTTGACCCTTTAATTTAATTTAATTTATGTTTGCACACTGTGTTTTAATTTATTATATTCAATCTCTACAATATAAGTTATTTTATTACTTAGCACGTCTATTAGGAAATTGGCACACAGGAATTTGTTTCTAAGATTCATATTATCATCTTTTAAAAGGATGGTGATCGAAAAATAAACAGAGAAGATTTAAAAAAGGCATGCTTTCAGCTTAACTTGGATTTGGATGATGAACTTTTGGATTCTTTATTTAATTACTGTGATTTGGATGAAGACGGTTTTATAGACTATTTGGAGTTTGTAAATTTTCTTAACTGGAAAGACAAAATGGCTATTCAAGAGTATGAAGAAAAAATAATAACAAAAGGTATGTCACTAACATTAAATGATAACTTATATCATTAAATCTGATACCAGTACAATGGACTTAAGTTTCTTGAGTATTTCATAAAGTAAACTGAAGATTTGGAATTTGTACTAATCAAGAATAACCTTTTCCCCCCTTTTGGATTAAATTTGAGTTTTGCCTGCAAAGCTTCCATAGGATTTATTACTTTTGGCTTTAGACAGTGGTGTGAAATGACTGGGTCAAATTTGTTATCACCTTGGCTATATGGATTTCGAACATTCCTCAGGATGAAGAATGCTCAGAATGATAATGTCGACAGCTGGAAAACTCTGAAGTTGGAGAAGGCTTTTTAACCCCCTTTCATTCTTTCTCCTCCTCTTCTATTACATTCAGGTGACTAATGTCCTTCAGCAAGAGATGAAAAAAAAGATTGTTGTTGACAAGAACTATTGCTGATAGTTTAATTTCCCACAATGACTCTGAGGGCTGTAGAGGGCACTTATCATAAAATCAGCACTCCTTTTTTCCTTATTTTTCTATTACTATTAAAGTAAACCATATCAGAGTAAAGTATATGTTCTTTCTTGAAATAGGAGAGGGAAGACAACAGTGGAGCTCCATTCAGCTACTTTGTCATAATTCAAGAAGAAGCCTTGGCTGGTTCTACTTTTCCCTTCATTTAGAAGGAGGGATTCATTGATACTGTAGGGCACCACTAGCTCCCTGGCAGTTAGGGGATATTCCACTGTTATCTCAGGAACTGACAAGTAGATAGGTTTGACCTTCACCCTGGCCATGTTCAAAATTGTTCTGAAAATCTGATTTCTTTCCCCAAGTGTTGGGTTAATGTGAATTTGATTGACTTTTAGTGGTTGCTTTTCTTCTGATGTTTGGATGAATTGTTCTTTTACTGTACAGTATCAGTTTTACTGTATCCCCCCCTCCCAGGTCATTATAGAATTGAGCAGCCTTATATTTTTCTGAAATTATTTAAATGAATAAGTAACAGAGCTACTTTTGTATCCATATATGACTTCAATATTTTTATTTTTATTTTGACATGGTTGAAACTGGACCCTTGCTTTCAATGTTCACAACCCCATTTTTCCTTTGTTTAAAAAATGTATCTTGTTTATGGTCTTATATCAGGGATGTCAAACTGGCAGTTTGGTAGCTGTATGCATCAAATGCAAGCCATGCCCATCTTGCCTCCGCAAAGGCAAAAAAGTCACCATATGTCACGTGACATCATGTGATGTGATCGAGTTTGACATCCATGCCTCAGATCTTATTTTAAAGCTTCCTAAACTTACTTTTTTGTGCTATTTTATAGTTTTATGTTACTCAATAAAAGTAACCTTTAAACTTTTTCTTTTCATTCATTGTTCACAGGGAAAAAAACAGCTCCTTTTGATCTTATTCCAGCAAATGATTCAGAAATTAAAGCTAATGAAAATGCTCTGCTAAAGCAGGATGATATTGTACCCATGGAACCAGGAAGTTTAGAAAAAACATTTAGAACACTGTCAAGACCAACTGATCGTGTATTTTCTGATTATCGCACAACCTCTTCTCAATATAATGCAGTTGTAGGTGGCATTCCTTCATCATGTATGTAAAACATTTATATATTCTTTTACAACCAGTTTATAAATGTTTAAAGATATCATTAACATATTTATTAATCAGCCTCCTAAAGATCTTTTGTTGCTGTTTTGATTTCTTTAGTTGTTTTGAAGAGAATATAGCATCTATATAATAGTTATATTGTTTTTTAAAGATGCATACTTCCTCAAACCAGATTTGATTCCTGCTAATTTCATGAATAATGTTGTCGTTTTCTTGACAATAACACGTAAATGGTTTTTCATTGCCTTCTGACATTTTGTTAGTTTTCCATTTTATAGCCTGGGATTTTCTAATGGTCTGCCTTCCAAACAGCAGTATTTAATTGATACTGAACCTCAGAAGTCTAACATAACTTAAGGGAGATTTTTCTCTCTCTCATCTCTAAAGATTTTTAAGAGAGCAATTGCTAATCAGTTTATTGAAGCATCATGATTTTTTACTGGGAATGCTGGAGGCCCTTCATACTGATTTCTCTGTAACATCATTCATAATGAAGTTTTGGTCCTATAGTCATTTCCATAAGCCTGTTGTAGACTGAGATTGGAGTATCCCTGAGATGCATCCTCAGTAAAAAAAACCAGGGTGTGTTTGTAAGCAGGTATTGTGTTTATCCTTAAAATATTCAAGTAAAATGTTCAAAAATTAGATAGTACTGTAGAGTTAGGTCAAATATTTGAAATGCATATTTTCTGGACTAATAGCATGAATATGAGTTGGAGTAGGTTGCAAATATAGTCCATGATCCAGGCAAAATTTAGGAATAATGAAAGTTCTGATTTCAGAGGGACATTAAGACTGTAGTCCTATGTCCATAGCACAGGATCCTATGACCTCCTCTCTTTGGAGAAAGAAATCCAAAGACCATAATTTCAGATATAAAATATCCTTTCCACCAGTCATCTATCTCCCCACCCCACCCCCATAAGCCTCTGAGCCTATCCGGGTCTGACATCTGGAATGGCAGGGATAAAGCAATAGGAATGATGGGAGAGATTTTAGATCTAAAACCTTCCTAATCATCCACATCACTGCTGACCTAGATCAGCCTTTTGAACTGGTATAAATTACTTTGCTCACAGTGATAAAATATTTTTAATGAAAAACAAAAATAGGAAGGTCACTGATATTCCTCCTTTCAAAGGTGCCTTGATCATATTGGAGGACTCTAACTAGGTAATAGAGTTGTTCTAGTTTCAAGATATTGTTCCCTTACAAGATCAGTGTATTTTGAGAACTTAGTTTTTTCACTGTTACTTGTTTAGTTATGCCTCTAATTAGAGGTGTCTACAGTAGTGTGAAATTGTAGGCTTAACCCACCACCCTTTTTTAGGTATAGTGGTTGTGCTAACATTTTGAAATCACTGGCTGTGACTGACATTCCTATCTCTAATTGTAGATAGACATTGTATAACAAAAAATTTAAAAGCATACAAAAATAAAAAGAAGTTATGTATATTATCTTAAATGGATTTTAAAAAAAACTGGTTTAGAAAAGGAGCTTTAAAAAGGATATGCTTGTTTCATGTAATCTAGTTCTGTTATTCCTACCTGCACCATAATGCTTTTCTCATCACTTTTTAAAATATGTTTTCACACAGTTTACCCCCTATTTGGCATTCCAACCATTCGTTCAGATATTCCAGCTCCTCGTTTTCGCCGTATCAGTGACACCACTAATTATGGGGATCAAGCAACTATGTATGCATTGTTATACCCCTCTATCTATAATAATAAAGGAGTATATGAGAAAGATATCTTCAGGATAAGATCAAAGGAAGAGGTAGATATATATATATATATATAAATATATATGTTAAAAATGCAATATAATTTGTCTTATCAGCTGCTGGAAGATCATAGGAAACATTTCTATTAAAAATCTATGATCATTGTCTTGTCTAGTACCAGTCTTGAGTACACTATTTTAACAGAAAAGATTTCACACTAAAAATAAGTTATCCTCAATTGCAGATTTAATGTATTAAGCACAATGCAAATGGAAAAAGAACTATCTGAAAGGTGCTTTTTCAAAAGGCAACTGGACTGGTTTTTTTTTTTCTTTGATGAAGAAGAACAAAATGTTTAACTTCTCATCCAAGAAACTTCATCACTTGTGATGGCAGGGGTGGATGGAAGGATAAGTATTGGGGGTTGAGATTGGATGGAGGGGATCCAAAATGTGGACTTTAAAAGAGGAGTAAAAGAGGCCATTTATATTAACACTGAGCAGCCTTCTACAGTTTACAATGCAGCCCCTTGCAGGAATTCTAGGAAGGTTCACCCATTGTACTCAGATTCAGGGAACCTGAGAGCAAAGATAAATCCGCAAATGGCCAAAACAGCTCTTAGGGACAGTGCTAATGACCAGATGACTGCAAAAAAAGATAAAAATACAATCCTTCCACTCCACACCACCATCCAGTCAAAACCTATCCTTCCAATTCCCCTACCATCCAGTCTTAACTGTCAGTACCTATTATTCCATTCCCTCCTCCCAACTCACCCATCATAACTGATGAAGCTTCTTGAATAAGAAGTGAAACATTTTGTTCTTTCTCAAGGAAAAAAACCACTTCAGTTGTCTTTTGAGACAACTATGACCTGGATGGCTGAGAATTTTCATAGACACCTGAAGAACTAAAAAAAAAAGATGGATAGGGCCAGGCTTTGCTTCTTCTTATCCTAAATTTTCTTCATTGGGTTTACTTGCTTTTAGTCCTGTAGACCAGTATTTTTCAATTTTGGGAAGTTTGGACTTCAACTCCCAAAATTCTCCAGCTGTCATTGGGAAACATAGCTGGCATGGCTGGCTAGGGAATTCTGGGTGTTGAAATCCACATATTTTAAAGTTCCCAAGTTGAAAAACACTGCTCTAAATAATAGAAACTAGAAAATGCTTCTTTCTGATTAATTGGTAGGGGGAGCCAATTTTATAAAAGGTGGGGGGGGGGAGAGATGAGGGAAATCTGACTATAATTACTCTTTCCTGGATAATGTACACTTGGATGGTATACATTAGCTACAGCTAGCTAATTTTACCTAATCTTTTGAATAGAGTCTTGGGAATTGGGTTTTGTAATATTGTTTTTTCTGGCATAAGATTCTGGGCTTTGGTAGAGTAAGTGAAGTTCCATATTTATTTGATATATAGGTACTCCTTGACTTTCAGTGGCCACTTGGTAACCATTCAAAATTATGACTGATCTGAAAAAGAGGATTTATGACCAAGATTCAAAGTTTTTATTGTTGGGCTCCTTCAGCAGTCACACGACTAAATTTTGAGTGCTTAGCCATAAAGCCATATTTATGGCCAATTGCAACGTCCAATGATCACCACAGTTTATGGCAGCCTATGACAGAACTTAGTTCCAGATTTCAGCAAAACCATATCCATAGGAAACCATTGGTTCACTTAATTGCTGCAGTGTCATTAGTGATTCACTTAATGATTATCACAAAAGGGTTGTAAAATTGGATTGGTCATGTGATTGAACTATTTTATGACTGTTACAACATTTGACCAAAATGGCCAGACTCCATTACAGTTGTATGTCAAGAATTATATGCTGAGATAATTTGATCTTTATATTTTTAATCTGATTCATTAGTGTTTTGAATGGTCAAATAACTACATAAGTAAATAAATAAATTTAATGCATGATTTTTATTTTTTCTGACAGTTGGCATGTATACCCGCTCAATTGCCCTTTGACTTTTAGTATAGAGTCACAACTATTTCATGGATATCAGCTTAGAAATAAAATGATCCCACAAAGTTCCAGTTTTTGTCTACTTTTTTGTTTTGAAAATGTTTATTAGATTATAGAGTATTGTAAAATATAAAATACAAAAGTAAATAGAAGAACAATGGGGGGTAGGGGGAAGTGATGTGAGGAAAATAGGCGGAAAAAAAAGTAAAAGAAGCATTGACTTCCGACTCTCTCTCTTACAGTAAAATAAGGCATTAACATCAAATCACAGCTTTTTGCTTTTCCATAATAGTATGAACAAGTCATTTCTATAAAGATCTATCAGTCTAATCTGTAAAATCCAAAGTCAATGTTACATTCTTTTCCATATCAAGCACGAAGTTCAGAAGCGGTTTCCATGTGGAAACAAAAGAACTTCTGTTCTTTTCTTTAATCAAAAGTCAGTTTTGCCATTTTTGCTAACTCCATCAACTTCTGCAACCATTCTTCCATGCTAGGAATCAAAGTGTCCTTTCATTTTTGTGTATATAATAGTCTTGCTGCGAGAGTTTTTGTCTCTTTTGAGATAAAGTTGGACTATGGCCTGAAAGACATACATGAGTGATTTTGCAGATGTGCATGCATGTAAAAATTCCAAAGGCTAACTATATTATATATTACTTCACAGATTGCAGACATTTTGCGCAACATTGGTGTGAAACTTTCAGATGAAAGCTTTGATGAAGTATGGAGGCAGGCCTGCCTGAAAGATCACAGAGGAAAAGTTTGTATAGAATCCATCAGAAATGTACTAGATGAGATGGAGGCATTACACTTGACCAGCTGATAAGGACTTTCCTTTGAATTATGTGATATTTATGGTTGAATATTATCTTACTGCAGTAAATTTTCCTGTTATGATATGTTTTGAGACAGTCTGTGTACAGTGCATATAAAGACATTTATTTACCAAACTATATTAAATTGGACTTCATATTCAGTTAGAAATATATTTTTAAAAAAGAATTAAACATCCAGGAAGAAGAAATGTGTACTGTGTATTATGAGATGCAAAATAGCATCAGATACCCATTGTTAAAAAGAAAAAACAAGATGCTAGATTCAGCTAGAATATGGTAGAAAATTTTGTCAGCATAGTCAGGAAAAACTTTCCTGATTATTACTTACTTTCAGAACTATTATACATTTTCTATCTCACTCAACAAACATGCTGTTTTTATGGATGATGGCTGCATATATTCTTGTTCAGAAGTTATATATAACTCACTCACAAACAAAAAAATCTCCACACCACAAGCCAGGCAAAGATGAGTGCAATACAGACGAACACAATACAGAAGCCTGATGATGGCAGATGAGATTCTGCCGAAACATCGCTACAACTTTAAAAGCACAACTATAATGATGTGGGAAAACACCCGAACAAAGCTGAATACCATCTATCTATCTATCTATCTATCTATCTATCTATCTATCTATCTATCTATCTATCTATCTATCTATCTATCTATCTATCTATCTATCAATCCACACACTGCTCAAAATAAAGGGAACACAAAAATAAGACATCCGGGATCTGAATGAATGAAATATTCTTATTAAACATTTTGTTCATTACATAGTTGAATGTGCTGACAACAAAATCACACAAAAATTATCAATGGAAATCAAATTTAGCAACCCATGGAGGTCTGGATTTGGAGTTACACTCAAAATTAAAGTGGAAAAAAACACTACAGGCTGATCCAACTTTGATGTAATGTCCTTAAAACAAGTCAAAATGAGGCTCAGTAGTGTGTGTGGCCTCCACATGCCTGTATGACCCCTCTACAATGCCTGGGCATGCTTCTGATGAGGTGGCAGATGGTCTCCTGAGGGATCTCCTCCCACACCTGGACTAAAGCATTCCCCAACTCCTGGACAGTCTGTGGTGCAAGGTGGTGTTGGTGGCTGGAGCAAGACATGATGTCCCAGATGTGCTCAATTGGATTCAGGCCTGAGGAATGGGTGGGCCAGTCCATAGCATCAATGCCTTCGTCTTGCAAGAACTGCTGACACACTCCAGCCACATGAGGTCTAACATTGTCTTGCATTAGGAGGAACCCAGGGCCAACCGCACCAGCATATGGTCTCACAAGGGGTCTGAGAATCTCATCTCGGTACCTAATGGCAGTCAGGCTACCTCTGGCGAGCACATGGAGGGCTGTGCGGCCCCCTAAAGAAATGCCACCCCACACCATTACCATCACTGCCAAACTGGTCATGCTGGAAGATGTTGAAGGCAGCAGAACGTTCTCCACGGTGTCTCCAGACCCTGTCACATCTGTCATGTGCTCAGTGTGAATCTGCTTTCATCTGTGAAGAGCACAGGGCGCCAGTGGCGAATTTGCCAATCTTGGTGTTCTCTGGCAAATGCCAAACGTCCTGCATGGTGTTGGGCTGTAAGCACAACCCCCACCTGTGGACGTTGGGCCCTCATACTACCCTCATGGAGTCTGTTTCTGACCATTTGAGCAGCCACATGCACATTTATGGCCCGCTGGAGGTCATTTTGCAGGGCTCTGGCAGTGCTCCTCCTGTCCCTCCTTGCACAAAGGTGGAGGTAGCAGTCCTGATGCTGGGTTGTTGCCTTCCGATGGCTTCCTCCATGTCTCCTGATGTACTGGCCTGTCTCCTGGTAGTGCCTCCATGCTCTGGACACTATGCTGACAGACACAGCAAACCTTCTTGCCACAGCTCATATTGATGTGCCATCCTGGATGAGCTGCACTACCTGAGCCACTTGTGTGGGTTGTAGACTCCATCTCATGCTACCACTAGAGTAAAAGCACCGCCAGCATTCAAAAGTGACCAAACCATCAGCCAGAAAGCACAGGAACTAAGAAGTGGTCTGTGGTCACCACCTGCAGAACCACTCCTTTATTGGGGATGTCTTGCTAACTGCCTATGCTTTCCACCTGTTGTCTATTCCATTTGCACAACAGCATGTGAAATTGATTGTCAATCAGTGTTGCTACCTAAGTGGACAGTTTAATTTTACAGAAGTGTGATTGGCTTGGAGTTACATTGTGTTGTTTAAGTGTTCCCTTTATTTTTTTGAGCAGTGTATAAGAAAGGGGCCTAAGAAGATTTAAAGAACTATCATCCAATAAACTTTCTTTCAAGTCAGTAAAGAACTATTACCCAATAAACCGTCTTTCAGTTTTCACCAAGAAAGAATATTGAGAACATTAAATAAGACTATTAAAAACATCCAAAGGAGCAGGCAGAGTTCAGAAGTGGTTAGAGCACAATGGATTACGTTAAGGTTGTTCAGCAACTAATTGAAAAGCACAATGAGTACACCATGCCTCTGTGCATGGCTTTCATTGATTACGAAAAGGCATTTGACTCAGTACTCCAGCAAGCAATAGTTAAGGCATTGCTCAACTGAGACGTAGATACTATTTACATAAAACAATAAATACATGAAAAAATGGCAACAATTTGCCTTAATGATCTTAAACTGGAAATCAACATAGAATGAAGTGTACAACAAGGTGATACAATATCACCTGTCCTTTAGTCAACCTTTTGAAAACTTAATCGAGCAAAAGATGGAACAAAAGTGAATGGTGCCTATTTAAATCAATTAAGATTTTTTTGATGATGTTCTCTTCACACAAGAGCTACAAAAAGATATAAAAGTACTGCATAATGGAGAAGTAACAAAACAAACTTGAAAAAGAGCCAGGTTATGTTAATAAATTCATCAAAGAAAGAAAGAAAAATATATTTGGAAAAGAACTAGATGTAGTAGACCATTACACATACCGTGTTTCTCACAAAATAAGTCCGGGCCTTATTTTTTTTGACCCCCCCAAAAATGGCTAGGCCGTCTTTTCAGGGGTGACTTAATTTCCTCCCCCACCTAGAGCATCCCATGTGCACGTACCTCTCCATGAGGCCGTTTCTATCGGCCAACGAAAGCTCCCCAAAGGCAGAGTCCCCAGCCACTTTGGGGTGAGGCATGGCTGCCCGCGTCCCCTCGCCATGAGGCAGTGTCTTTCAGGTGATGAAAGCTCCCCAAGGGCAGTCACCAGCCACTTCGATTGACCGGTAGAAGTGGCCTCAGGGCGAGCGCCTAAGCACACTCCCCTTGCCCCGAGGCCGCTTCTATTGGCCAATGAAAGCTCCCCGAAGACAGAGTCACCAGCTGCTTTGGGGCAAGGCGTGGCTGCCCTCCTGTCAGGAGCACCCACGCACACTCCCCTCGCCATGAGGCAGTGTCTTTCAGGTGATGGAAGTTCCCCAAGGCCAGTCACCAGCCACTTCGATCGGCCGGTAGAAGCGGCCTTGGGGTGAGCGCCCATGCGCACTCCCCTCACTGCGAGGCCGCTTCTACCAGCTGAGTGAAGTAGCTGATGACTGCCCTTGGGGAGCTTCCATCGCCCGAAAGACACTGCCTCATGGCGAGGGGACACAGGCAGCCACACCTCGCCCTGAAGCGGCTGGTGACTCTGCCTTTGGGGAGCTTTCATCGGCCCATAGAAATGGTCTCGTGGCAAGGGGAGTGTGCATGGGCACTTGCCCCGAGGCCACCTCTACCGGCTGATCGAAGCGGCTGGTGACTCTGCCTTCAGAGAGCTTCTTTCGGCTGATGTTCTATTGGTAGTAGATCGGGGTATTCTAGCCTAGGCTACCTGCAGGGCACTCCTAAAGGCAAGTTTTCTCCCCACCCCTGCCCTTCCCCCCCATTTCTCTTCACCTCGTGTAGTTCTAACGAACGATGTGAGAAATGGCAGGGAAACACACGGTTTAAATAGGCCTAAATTTTGGGGACGGGGCTTAATTTCACCTCATGCCTAGAAATCATGCTGGGCCTTCCTATTGGTGGAGGCTGTATTGTTGGAGAAACACGGTACCTTGGCCAATGGATATCAAAGGACAGTGGTACAAAAAGGAAATTGAATGGTATATAAATTTTGTTGACAGGCATTCAACAAGCTAAGGATAATTTTCAAGAACAACTCTCCCCTATGCCTGAAGAGAAAAGTTTTCAAAAGTGTGTGCTACTTGCTCTAACTTGCTCTAACACACACACATACATACATACATACATACACACACAACTGTAATGACATAGGAAAATACCCGAACAAAGCTGAATACCATACATGTAAGTACCCGCGAAAACTTAAGAAAACAAATTATATATATATGTGTGTGTGTGTGTGTGTGTGTGTGTACATACACATCACATGACTTCCCCCATGATGACGTGAGTTTGACATTCCTGATCTGAAGTATTGTAGGGAGATCTTCAGAGAGGATCTTGCTCCAGAGATAAGTTTGACTATGTATATCTGACATGTCCAATAGGATCAAATATTGCCTCCTGCTAACTAATACCAAATTGATAATCATTATAGTATCATCCAAAGGGGATTTCAGCTTTTTAAAACTACAATATTATTATTAAGTGTTTATATTATATTCTGTTTTATATTTTTATTTTAGTTTACTATTATATAAGCTACCTTTCCTCCCTTGCATTTCCCATACCATTAAGTCAGGTTGTTTTCTTACATTATGTTGGAATCACTGAATAGTCTCATGCTATGTAGAATGATATGATAAGGAAAATAAGAAATCAGAACTTGAGATTTGGCAGCCATTCTGGGGCGAGGGATACATGTATCTCTCTCAGAATTTCTGTATTATTTTAGCTGCTTAAACTGAAACATTGTTGAATTAAAACAAGAAGCTCAAAGGGTGTATCTGAGAGACTGATATAATAAGCCTATTAAATTTTTCAAAAGGCTGCGGTAATTTTGTGTAGCGTTAGAAAGCTTCCAGTTTTATACTCATGAGACTATTTGAATGATTTAGGAACTTTTTCTGGCTATTCATAGCTTTCAAGCTTGAAATGTT